TGAAATTAAAATATAAAACTATTTTTTATTATTTATTTTAAAAAATTGAGCCATTAATCATAATGTAATAGTGATAGAAATTTCATAGAAAGAAAAAGACTGTTTAATTAAACTTAAACAACAATTTATTATTAAAAGGTGTGAATTCAATATAAAATAACTCCTTCCCTGGCTCGAATACATGCGAAGATCCTCCTGGGCATGCTGAGGATCAAGTTATCCAGCATTTCCTGGGGTAACCTATCCCATTCTTCAATAGCGGCTTCCCTGAGCTCTGGAACTGTTTGGGGACGTGGCTCACGGTTCCATACTGCTCGTTTAAGAGCATCCCACGCGTGCTCTATTGGGTTTAAGTCGGGCGAGCCGGCAGGCCAGTCTAATCGTGTGATATAGTATTCTTGAAGAGCAGCATTGACTCGTTGAGCTCGATGTGCGGGCGCATTATCATCGACCAGTACAAATTGGTGCCCATAGTTTACTCGGAATGGTCTGACGATATCATCAATAGCAACTGCTTTGTACATGTCTGCTGTCATGAAGCCCCGATACGGGATCAAAGGCGTTCTAGCTCCAATCATAATGCCACCCCAAAAGGACACCGATTTTCCGCCTTGCTGAACTGTTCGAGTGGCATTTCTTTGTCTTTCACGGTCGCCTGGTCTTCTCCAGACACGGACACGTGGGTTATCTGGATGAGTGCTGATTCGGGATTCGTCAACGAAGAGACAGTTTTGCCAAATGTTTTCGTCCTCACCTTCTTCATTTTGCCGAAGTCTAGCCCACTGCAATCTTCGTTGTTGACGTTGCCGGGAATTGAGCGGAGCTCGCCAAGACCTCCGTGCTCGTAATCCAGCCTGGTGCAAGCAATTGCGAACGGTCTGCGTGCTAACTTCAAGCCCAGAGGCGGCCCTGACTTCTGCTTTTATTTTAGTGGCGTTGATTGTTGGAACACGGGATGCCAGCAATCTAATATAGCGCTTTTGGGCAGCTGTCAAAACAGTTGGGCGACCGCTGCGGGGTCGGTCAGCTAAATTCCCCATTCCGTGATACCTCTGCAACGTAGCCATGACACAGGATTGGGATATAGCAAGTCTGCGTGCTATTACTCTCGTGGTGTATCCTTCTTCCCTCAAAGTTACTATTCTAGCTCGTAAAACCTCTGATAATCCTCTTGGCATTTTTTCAATCACAACTTTCCGCGAAAAATATCTTGAATCGCTTATAATTGACTAAATCAGATTTCTGAATGAGCGTAAGCTAGGACTGAAAGCCTTTTTATATGAAAAAACAATTGAACGGGGTCATTGTTTTATGTTCTAATTTATTTTTAAATATTTTAATTTTGTTCTAATTTATTTTTAATTTTTAAATCATAATATAATCTACAGTAACAAAAAAGATTTCAGTTTTTCGAAGTGATCGCAAACTTTTTTTGATGTGTGTATATTAAATATGAAAATATAAAGCAGAGAAAATTACACTACATTTTCGGAACTATATCGTGTACATGGATTTATTAAAAATTCATATTGTTAAAATGAAATAAAATATTTTTTAAAACCGAATGTAGCGTAAAGTTAAAGATAAGGTAATTTCAGTATTAACTTTTGAAAAATTTAAAAATTTATATTATTATGCTTTATATTATACTTTATAATTGTAGCCAGAGATGACCATGTAACCAGTAAGGGGCCCGAAACGTTGGTTTGTTTGGAAAAAAGTAGTTTCATTTCCTATGTATAACAATCGCGAAAAACCAAACCACTCAAAATACAAAACAGGTAGAATTATTTTAGAGAAATGATAGTCAATCTCTTTATTGTCATTTTTTTGCATAATTGCTGTGGCACTTGCACTGACAAGGCCAGTGCGGAGTGATGATAGACGATGAACGAGGGGAGTGCAGTCCATTTCCACAGACTTTTCACTCGGGCTATACGAGGAAAAGATAATAAGACACACTTTCAGAATAATTATTTAATGATAGAAATATAGAACTTATTTATTAACACATTCTATTCACTTGCGGTCGCTGACCCTGCAAATCTACTTTAACCAATCTACACTGCTTTAGACACTTTGGTTTCACATTTTGTACTATCTATTTCCTATCACATTTAGAGTTCTAAGCTACGGAATCTAGAAATTCAAAACGTAAGTTAATCTATTTTGACCATTGACTTACAAATAAATGGACGACGGGTCTAATACAAAAACCACGAAAAAATGTCCCAAGTCAACCTATTTAAACGTAGTGACATGTAAAGGAATATGAAAAAGCTAAAACGTTGAATTTAAATTGTAATGTCATCGCAGTACTGTCTAATTTTGCTTGCTTCGCTGTCAGTCGAACAAAAGAAGACTAAAGCGTGAATGACGCTCTGTATACGATTTTAACGCCCTATAAGTTCGAACACTGTTTAGCGCGGACCCGACGTCCATATAATTGTAAGTCAATGATTTTGACACTAATAAACTATGACATCTTAACCAAAAAAACCTAAAACTCTATCTTATGAGCGTTGAATCAATCTCTTTGGAAAAAATATATAGGAAAATTGAAGATATACACTGATTAGTATACGGTGAGAAAATACGTTTCCTAAAAATTTTCACGATAGAAAAAAAAACACAAACTTACCTCGAAATTTTACAAGAAAACCCGCTGTTTTCAATGCACTTTACATGTACCAATGTTATTTTTTAAAATTTTAACTGAACTGAACAGAACAGGTATAGTATACGATATACATTTTTCAAATGGGTTTAAATTCAGTTGTAAAGCAATAAATTCTGAAATAAAGCCGGTGTCCCTGTCGCTTGACCCAAGCAAAATTAACCGTATTAGTACGGGAAAATTTTTAATTCGAGCTAAAGTAGTGTCCACTCCTATCTAATTCCAAAAATATGTATAAGTTTTATTCAAAAGTATGTTGTTATAAAAATATGAATAGTGCTTGTTTATATTATTTTCCTACACAATTTGTCTATACACGGGGTGTTAGGTAGTCCATTGCAAACTTTAACGTAAACAATTGTAAATTATCATTTACGACGATGAAACACGTAAAAATTAAAAATCTTTCTAGAACCAAATTGATTAATTAAATTGGTTGATTTTGTATTTATTAATTGTGTTCAAAAGTAAAGTAAAAAGGGCGTACGACAGGGCTGTCTACTTTCACCTGTACTGTTTAATATGCACGGCGAACCATTTAACCATTAAATACTGTTGTAGAGGTTTGAAGTCAAGAGATTTGACATCGGTTTTGCTATCAACAGGAATAAAACGACACTGACAACAATTTACGAAGCTGGGAAACTATTGAAAGGGAGGCCTGCTGATGCGGATACAGATCAGGAGCTATATGCGAAAAATCAAAATGAGGTTTACCATAACAAAGGATACTATGTCTCCCATCGAAAAGCATTAGAGTTCTTCATGAAAGAGGTCGTCCAGGGTAGTAAGCTACCTTAATTATTACTGCTACCATTCATGTGAGCATTATTGCGTTCCGGTTTTCAAGGGTAAGATGCTGGTGAAACCGCAGACACACGGAACTTGTCAGCTATGTCTTAGGATGACGGACGCAGTGGCAATGCCCCCACTACAGTTTTTTTATTTTTTTATAATACTAAGTGACGAGACGGACAAGTCGTGCGCCTGGTGGTAAGCGACATACCTGTCCATTACAGTTCCAGTGCCGTTCAGAGCTTTAAATCACGAAGATGGACAGCGGCACTACCACTGCGCCCGACACCCTGAGACATAAGTTGACAAGTCCCATGTACCTGTAATTTCATCAGCGCCCTCACCCTTCAAAACCGGAACGCAGTAATGCTCACATTACAGCTTTGCGGCTGAAACAAGTAAGGTGGCAGTACTCCCTTGACGAACTCTTTCACAAGGAGCTCTACTGCTGCTAAATTGTAAACAATTGCTACGGACAGGCGTGTCGCTTACCACCACAACGCGTACGACTTAGTTGTTTCCATCAAAAAAACACAGGAGAAAGACAGGAGATCGGTACATTTGAAATGTGGTGCAGGGGGAGAATGCTATGAATGTTTTGGGCAGTCAAAGTTAGCTCAAGGTCAAAACTCGTCTACATACATTGCGTCACCGGCGAGTTCTGCTCTATTACAATAGCCTACAGAAACCAATACTGTCGGACAATATCGAGAGTAGGTGAGCGAGTGACTGATCACCAGTGGTTAGAATTAAGGGAGTTAATCTACCTAAAGTATGAACATCTTCTTAGTATGGACATACCGATTTCGTCGTCAATGCGTATAATAGTAGTTTATGTGACTATTACATAATGAAAACACGAGAAAACATCACACGAGTGTTTTAATGCGTAATTATGTACAGTTACATACACTGCTTTATCTACATATTATACACATATTATAAGCCCTTTGTGATATGTTCAGAAACCGCACATTACGACTGGCGAAATGGCGGCAAATAAAAACTTTTGTTACGCATGTCACACAACCGTAGTTTTTATTTTATTCATAGACACACAAGAGTCGGCCCCAACTATCTAATCGTTCGAGATCAAGTAACGTGTGAAATTTGTCAAAATTGTTGCTGCCAATAGCAATATAGCAAAAAAGCAAATAGCAAATTTCATTTTTATTAAATCTTCATCTCGACTATTATTAAAATTGAGGTCGAATTAAATTGTTTTGTTTTTCATAGATGTTCGAAATTTGAATGTAATAATAACATCGAATTCAATGTTATTATGAAGCAATAATGACATTTTCACAGATAAGAAATTTGTTCGAACAAAACAGTTTATAAAATACTTTAACTAAATACTTTATACGTAGTGTGTAGATCAAATTTATTTTGTTATTATTTATTTTCTAAACATTCCAAAATATTGTCACTTCTAATAACAAACAAGTTAGAAAAGATGTACCTATTTGAACTTATTGGAATATTTGAAAAATTGAAAAATTACATGTCAACCATCTAACACCCCGTATACGTTCTTTAATTCAAAAGTAAGTTACAGATACTTTAATTTTAATTTTTATTTGAAATTTATTTCAATTGTACCAACACCATGAAGTATGTCACTACGGCTCCCAATACCTGAAACACAAGGGAATAATGTCGCTATGAAGGTGACAGTATTTAGGCATACATTTAGGAACAATTTTTAGGAACAGTACCTCTCGCTAAGTGTAAAGGAAAATATTGTGATGAGACCCACATATTGAAGAAGTTTTACAAACCTTGCAAGAAGAGTGAAATTTCCAATCAGTATTGGGTTAGCATGGTGCTTTGGTAAATTTATTTGCTACTCCGCGAACTAATTCAGCTTACTGTACTTTAATCTGTCAATTATAATTTCAAAAACAATATTACAAAAGCGCTCTTTTAGTTCAGAACCAAAATTCTATTATCTATGTTACTCGGTACTGAACTGAAAAAAATAAAAAAAAAGAATTAATATTTTTGCTAATTAAAATAACGCTTTGCTGTTTCCTGATTGGTTAAAATATAAGCTGTATTTGACCAATCACAGATACTTCTGTATCTTCTTTTGTTTGGCTTTCGTTTGAGTGGATTGTTAAAAATAATCTTTAAATATTGCTTGTGTTTCATTATTTACATTCACTTGTAGAAAAAGTATTGTATGCAATCATTACTTAATTAGGTCTTAAAATCACATACCTAATAGGCACCTATACACAGGACTAGATTTTAAGAAAGATTGTATAAAATACTATTTAAAAAGATTTTGATTATAAAATAGATGTTTATTATTAAAGAGCTGTTACAAAACTAAGTTACAAATAAATATGAAATTACAGTTCATCGAATGCACATATAAAGCTATATTACTAGGTTGTGTTTGTAACCAATATATGACGTCAGCTATGTCCAGGCTTCATGGCTTGGTAATTCTTGTGATTTTTTTGCGGATCTAGAGTAGCTAATTAACTGCATGAAATCGGGGAGTAGCAAATACATTTACCTCCATTTTATGGGCCATATAATAGGTTGATGGGCTAGTTAATTCTTACCGAAGCAAACAAATCCAGTGAGACAGTGAAGAACTTTGCTCCAGAAATGCTCATAGCCTTCTGGCATTGTTGACACACGATCTGTACGAAGGTCTTCGCCTCTTCAGACCCGTCGTACCACTGGCAGGAGTACGCTGCCTCCATTACTGATGAGCTCTGAAATGTGTTCCATTATCAAAATTAGATACAAATAGAAACTGCAGTGCACGAGCCGTGTAATGACGAGTTGTATTCCTAGTACGTCTGACGCACCTTGAGCAACAATTCGGGGTTGGAGTACCTTAGAGCATTTGCTCACTGTGATGAATGAGACTCAGTCTTTTAAGGTTTTTTAAAAAACTTCGACTAATTTTAAACGCCTCACGACTAGTCTAGTCTTTTAACCCGCTAGTCTTGAGGCATAAGACTAAAGCTCAAGACTAATTCGTGTCGTAGTCTTTTAACCCTAGGAAGCTTAAAAGACTTGTAGGACTAAAACCTTAGAATAATAACGCATAGAATGATAGTTTCATATCAAAGGAACTGTCACAAGTGAGGTAAAAATCAAATTCATGTAGGCTAGTTTTAGTAGTAGGTTAATTTTCGGTTTAAGTGAATATTTATATAAAAATACAAGTTGAAACGCGTTACTTCCTTGTGGAATGTGATGTTACTATCTATTTTATGTTTGTCTGACGTATTTTTACACTCATTTACCGCACATTTCGTCATTTTTAGTTAAAATTCTTGAGCTGTTCGCGGTGCAAGTTGACCTTGAGTACTGAAAGCTCGCCCGCTCTTGTAGGCCCTTTTGGCGCGCTTCAATTTGCCTCACTTAGCGTGTGCGGACTAATATCTATGCGTTATTATTCTAAGACTAAAACGACTAAAAGGACTATTTTATAAAACGACTGGCGCTTTATAGCCTCGGGAGTCGCGAGCTGCATGGCGTGATTTTATTTCTACCCACAAGATATTTATTTTACGATTGATGGATTACGTTAACGTAGCTTTGTTCACAAAAGTCAGTTAATTATAACCAATTCAAGAATTTGATTTTTGGGAATTATTCGTTTCTTTAATATAAAAATGAATGGATACAGAACCCAACAGTCAAAGTATTTTATAAAATTTTAGTGTCTGATACTGTCGTTTGACCATAATGATGAATGAAATATGATACTTATTTATGAACGTATTAAGTGGAGGTCCACAGTCTTTGTCTACCCCTGAATGGGTGACAGGCGAGATTTTTATGTATATATTTGTTCTATGTATTATAGATAAATTGTATCTGACTACTCTGCACGGGTTTCTAAAGAAGTTTAAAAGAGTACCAGGACTTCATAATAAGAAAAGTGGTTACAGACCAAAATTACACAAAATAAAAAAAGGAGCACGTTAGAACTGGATTTCCATAGACTTTTAAATATTGGTTGTTTTTCATTATTTTAATTTACTCGCAGAAAAAGTATTGTATGTAATCATTGACTTACAAATAAATGGACGACGGGTCTAATACAAAAACCACGAAAAAAATGTCCCAAGTCAACCTATTCGAAATTTAAATTGTAATGTCATCGCAGTATCGCGCTGTCCGTAGAACAAATGAAGACTAAAGCGGAGTGTCGCGCTCTGTATACGATTTTAGCGCCTTATAAGTGCGGACACTTTTTAGCGCGGACCCGACGTCCATATAATTGTAAGTCAATGTATGTAATCATTATATAATTAGGTCTTAAAATCTCGTACCTATTGCTTAAATCACTCTTTGAATCCAAATTTTTATTGTAAATAAATAAACTTGATTATTTACTACATACTACGTCATTTTTATTTATAAACTTTGGGTTTACTAAGACTAAAATAGGTATAAGTCCATTACAAATAACTCGAGTCGTTTAAGTCGTTCAAGTCGTTTAAGTCGTATAAGTCGTTTAAGTCTTTTAGTATAACGACTGAGTCTTATTAATAAAAACTCGAACCTACAGTCTTAATTTTAGAGTCGAGTCCTGTAAAATGGAGTCGAGTCGTTATAAAACACCTTAAAAGACTGAGTCTCTTTCATCGCTAGTCCCAAATCCGAGAGATAGCGGTCCGCAGTAGGCCTAGTATTATTTTATATTATGAGAGAATGCACACTAAATTCGAATTTTGTCTTTAAAGCTCGAGAATACCTTCATTTGGATCATTATGTTCGAGGAACGAAGTTACTACGGTATTATTTCTATTAACACTTGAGCACTGTGTCCGATCCAAGTCCGAGGGATGAAGGGAAACAGCAAATATATAATCTCAGTACAGAATAAAAAAACCCTAGTTTGCCACCTTAGAGGTGGAATATTTTCTTCAAATTTAAATAATAATAATAACGCACACACTCAACATAGCACCGCACTAAGGAAACCCTGTGTCGCGGGTGCGATAGACACATATAGATAACAATAAATTACACCCAAACTCACGAGAGAAATAAATGTAGGCCATATAGATATTTCTCCCGGCCCGGGAATCGAACCTGGGACCTGTGCGTGCCAGGCATGGTAACCGTTTGGCCACGGAGGCAATTGATAAATAAGACCACTACTGCAGGTTTGGCATGAGCCCGACGACAAAAGTTATCTCTTCTTCGAACTGTCAATTTCTCGCGAAAACCTCGAAAAAAATAACAGTTCGAAGAAAAGATAACGTTTTTAGAGCTATCGCGTAACACACATACAAAAAAGAAAAAGAAACATACTGACGAATTGAGAACCTCCTCCTGTTTTTGAAGTCGGTTAAAAATAAAACCAAAAGTGGACACACCCCTTCAGTAATAACTACCTATAAATAAATTTCTTCCTACCTTGTTAAAGTTCATCGTAATTATTATAAAATATTTCTCAGAAAAATCAATTCAACAGGAAAAGGTGTACCCAAAACTTTTCATTCCTTCTGCGTCTTTGTATGTAGGTATTAACAATGCCAAAACTTGACGTGTACAAGATATTCGTATGTTCTCGGATTCGTATCGGAGTTAGTGCACAAGCGACATCCGAAGTCGGTTCGAGCTTTCCAGATTTGTATATTCTCGGATACGCATCGTACGCAGTGCACCAACGGTTTTATGCCGAAGGTAACCCGTGCACAGTTTAGCCAGGCGGCTACTTGTGGCATAATCAACGTGGTTAAGTTCTGGGCCGCGATAATATAGTGTATGCCATTGATACGATAAGAAGAAGAACTACAGTATTAAAGGTTTTGTCCGTGACCTCGCCTGGCTAAGAAAAACCGGTCCACTTATTTAAGATGGGTATAAAATGTTCTTAATTGAATCTAACTTGACTTTTTTTTTAAAGGAAATTGCCCGCAGCGACAGGGAATTCAATTTTCGTTTTCAAAGTGAATCTGATTCTGTGTCTTACCTTTGGCATATCGTCGCTCATGAACAATACTCCGTCGCTCATTGAACTTCGATAACAATATTACGTATTAAATTCCATATTACTGGGGGTTAAAGTTACTGTCTGAAGTTACTTTGAGAAACATCAAATGGTAATGCTAATATTGACTTTTGCCATTAACATTTGTATTGAAGTACTTGGAGATACCGCAACTTGACAAAGTTCCAAATGTACTTTCAGCAAAGTTAACGCCTTTTCACCTTAAGAGTTCTTTTTGCGTGCAGGCAACAGCCGTCAGTAGCAGCCCGCGGTTTGCTTGTTCTTGTCAACAGGGACGTTTAGTTATAAACAAATGGACTTCATAAATACTTGTAACTTTTTTATAAAAAAAATTACCTCAAAAGTTTGTGAAGTTACATCTATTTGCCAAGTTTTATTGAAATTGGTTAACGGAAAGTGGATGAAATCTGATGAACTGGATTCATCCCCTAATTTGCCCCTTTAGAGGTTGAATATTTTCTTTAAATTTGAATCCGACTATTTCTGAGGTACCCCATTTCCAACAAAAACGAATCATCGAAATCGGTTCCCAAATATCGGAGTAACAGCACAACATACACACGAAAAAATATAGTCTTATTGAGAAGTTCCTCCTTTTTTGAAGTCGGTGAACAAATTACATCCAAACTCACGAGAAAAATAAATGTAGGTCATATAAATATTTGCCATGGGCTGGGAATCGAACCCGGGACCTCTGCGTAGCAGTCCAGCATGGTAACCGTTCGACCACGGAGGCAGTTTAAAGATATTATAATTTGTTTTTTTTTTTCATATTACGTACTTTATTTTCATATTTATTTACATAAGTGTACCTATGTGTACATATGTATGTTGTTTATTACGTTATATAACGTAATAAATAACATAACCCTACAATCATCAGTAGCAAAACAAAATTATTCTGATCTGAAACCGGGAAAATCTCATTTATGCGGATAGTATCTTGTCAGTATCTCAGGTTGTCTTGAAAGTACTACTCCTAGATCCGTACGTATACATACAAAGCTGGAGGTGCGGTTATTGAAGTCTTTTTGGTACAATTATAAATTGTTACACACAAATTAGATTCTGCGGTGTCTTGCGTGCACAAGAAACTCATTGAGACGAAACCCGACACTGAAGAAACATTCCTGGTCTTACTGCAAGCACCGTACCCGCAACATCATCGTACATATATAGGAGTAATTACTTCAGAGATTACCTGAGTAAAAAGATACATAATTTCATTAAGAAAGAAGATATCCATGATATTAACCTTAGAACTAAGTATAAACTCATGGTACCACATTTTCTTTTAACTAATGTAAACGGTTATTTTATGGGGAACTGTATACGTTTTTACAATAAGATTCCGGAGCATACATGAAGGTTATCATTTCCTAAGTTTAAGACTTACATCAAAAGTACTTTAATTGAAAAGTCATATGACAAAATTGAAGATTACGTGTTAGATCACGATATATGGAAAGACGACACAATTCTAGATCCCACACAAATTAGATTCAAAATGCATTCCATAGCATTTAAGTTTATTTAAAAGTAACAATCCCTAGAGTTTCTTGCTCGTTCGAGTAACTTGAAAAATGATGTTTTCCAGTGTCAATTTATTTTACCAATGTAATTAATGATAGTTGACTTTGACTTTGAGAGACTGTCAGGTACATTTGGACCTTCTCCAAGACGCAAAATTTCCAAGTACGCCATATAAATGCTAGTGTCATAAGTCAATATTCAACACAACTACGAAAACACATAACCGGAAAAGGACGCAAGAAATGTTACGCTTCCACTGGAATGGAATTACATACTTTTTTATAATATCCAATGGCGGGACGAACAAGTCGTGCATCTAATGGTAAGCTAAACATCTGTCCACAACAGTTGCAGTTCCAAAGCATTAAATCGCAGAGATTTGAGAGGCACTGCGACTGCACCCGTCACCCTGAGACATAAGGTGACTAGTCCCATATGCCTGTAATTTCACCAGCACCCTGACCCTTCAAAGCCTCTCTGATTAGTTCCCTGAAGCTATAACTTAGGTCTTTTTCATTCAAGAGTGAATAGGCATTATACATATACATCTATAGGTACTGTAGACATAGTCGATGTAGAACAAATGTCAACAAAAAAATACGATTTTTAGGGATTTCACCTCAGATTGTTATAGATATCATAATTTCAATATTTTTCCTTGAAATTCGATTGCCTAATCGATATTGACAATATTAATCTTTAAGTAAACCTATGATGAATTTTGTTCAATAGAAATTTCAAATCAATAGTAAGTGATTTGAAACCAACATAAAAATTAATTATTTATAAAACTGTGTTGAAATTTATTTAAGTATTTGTGTATTATTATCAGTAAAAAAAGTAGTTTAATTTATAAAAAGCATTTTCCACAAGGTATTTTTTACAGGGTACAGCATTAAATATTTGGATTGCCATTGAGTGGGGCCCTGACCGGTACAAAGTTAGAGTAGAGAATAGCACGTTTAACCTACTATCTATTAGTAAGTATCAAAAACTTAATTAATTTATTCATAAATCTTACGTATTAATTGGTTTGCAAATTTTGTAATAATTGGTCAGATAAGTATTGCTTCTTCATGACCCAATTATTTACTCACCTATTTAATTCCAATTACACGAGCAGACCGTGGGCAGATCTAGCCTACATTATGAGCGTTGACAAAAAATATTCTTTCCCTCTGCCATCATTGTTTGCCAAGCAACGCCTAATTATTTATTATTAAATATTAGACAATATCACATACGCTCTGATCCCAAAGTACGTAACTAAAGCACTTGTGTTATGGGAATCGGATACAACGACGGTACCACAGCTAGCAAGACCCGAGACAGTATAGTTACCCTTAAAAGTTACCCTTTCTACATTGACCCGGCTGGGTATCGAACCTTAGACCTAAGAGACGGCGACACTAAGAAAATCGGTGTGTAAGCCATTCGATCATGGAGGTCGTCAAAGTTTAATTCTTTTTTTATTTTGATATGATTCTACGCCGAACTTCACTTTTTTGTAACCGATTTCAAAAACCCTTTTGGAGGACGTTCTCAGGTATTTTTTTGTATGTATCTTACGCGATAACTCCGGCGGCATTTGTGAACCGTTGTTGATGATTCTTTTTTTTTTTGGAAGTACCTCGGTATTGGTCTCATTTAAATTCGAAGAAAATATTCCACCTCTAAGAGTGGCAAACTAGGAGATGGATCTGGTTTCGCGCACTTTCCGGTAACCGATTTCAATAAAACTTGGCAAATAGATGTAATTTCACTAACTTTTGAGGTTGTTTTTCTAGTACTGTGTACTGAGATATCTTATCAGATGAGGCGGAGGTCCAATGCACACTTATTTTATCAACAAACAAAAGGAACATAATAATTCGAAGAAAGTATAGTCCCCTTGTCCCCAGTAGAGTTCCTTGTGACAGAATTCGTCCGAAGAGGTACTGTACGGTAACCTTACCTATTTCTGCCGCCAGGCAGTAATGGGAGAAAAGGTTGCTAACAGATTGACTGCATATTTGCAGTTAATGCGTGAAGTTGTAATCAATTTTAAGCAGCCGAGACCTGGACTGCATAAAATTGATAACGACTTGTTAACGCGTGAGCATTAACTGCAAACATGCAATCAATCTGTTAGCAGGCGTACTGCGTTCCGGTTTTAAAGAGAAAGGGTGCTGGTGAAACTACCGGCATATGGCACTTGTCACTTATGTTTCATAGTGACGGGTGCGTTGGCAGTGCCTCTCAGATCGTCGCGATTGAAAGCTCTGAGTGGCACTGCAACTGTTATGGACAGGCGTGTCGCTTACCACCAGACCCACGACTTGTTCGTCCCGTTACTAATACACATCTCTCCGCTCCATAAGTCATATTAAGTATATGACGTAAGCAGTCAATTATGTATACCGTTTTGGTTATCCCATGTAAAGTATAACATTATATTATATTACTAAGCTTAATAAGTAGATTATATTACAAGGACGTAATTTATGTTAAGTACTTTGTGCACTCAAGTTAAGTAAGTGGGCAGAGTGTGCTTAGCCAACTAACTTATACTACAGCAACTCTATCGTTACGTGAACTAAGCATGTTTCTTACGACACGATTTAAGACACTGTGTTCAAGTGCGTGTAGGTTTTTTTAATGATACTAAATAACAGAACGAACAAGTGGACCTGGTGGTAAGCGACACGCCTGTCCATAACAGTTGCAGAGCCACTCAGAACTATAAATCGCAAAGATCTGACTGTCACTCACGCTTACCCTTCAAGACCGGAACGTAGTAATGCCCACATTACTGCTTGGCGGCAGAAATGGGTACTTCCCTGGACAAACTCTTTCAAAAGGAGCTCTGCTTCGACTGTGTTGAGTGTGTGCGTTATTATTATTTATTTATTTATTATAGTACATCACTCTCAGCTTATACCGTATTTCATATTAAAACATCTAGTGTTAAATACATTAATGTCATATAATTCTTGTGTTAATTTAAATGTTCTATCGGAGTAGTGACCTATCAAATATTTGTGTTATCGAAGCAGTGTTATGACGGACTAGTGACTTGTCGGACATGTGTTTTGTCGAAGTAGTGTTACTTTGAATTCATGTGTAGTCGAAGTACTGTCGAGTCGAAATAGTGTTTGTCGAAATTAAGTATGACACTCTACCATTGTACCTATGTCATAAGCTTGTTTGTAATGTATTGTGATTCAGCAAATAAACGAGTTATTTATCTATAAATTATTAAATAAATGTAACTATCTGTCATAAGGATGCAAAACACGAATATAAAAAATGTAGAGATTGGTTCGATTATTTGCTCGGGTCGGGTTTGCTAAGCTTATAATTCAGTAAATTGAGGCTATTAAATGGGTTATCCGTTTGGCCGCAAGCCAGGGGAAATTTCCTACATAAGCTGATTTTGAAAACCCGTAGCCTCTAATCTACTCGTACTAGAGCAATAAAGTTTTAAAATATACATATGTAGCACACACATTGCATGCCATGCTACGGCCACAGATGTATGTAACACTCACACAAATGTATGATTGTCTTCCATGTATAATATAAATATACTAACTGCCTCCGTGGCCGAACGGTTACCATGCCGGACAGTCACGCAGAGGTCCCAGGTTCGATTCCCGGGCTGGGAAAAATAATTGTATGGTCTATATTTATTTATCTCGTGAGTTTGGGTGTAATTTGTGGTTGTCTATGTGTGTGTCCATGGCAACCGCGACACAGGGTTTCCCTAGTGCGAGGCTATGTTGAGTGTGTGGGTTATTATTATTATTTACTATACCATACTACAAAATAGTAGAAGTAAGTAACCCGCTTATCAATTAGCTCTTTTTGAAAAAGAAAAAAGGCTGTTACGCCCTTTCTTTCTCTAAGTATCGATATGGCGATAGATACAAGAATTTACTTACCTCTTCAATAAGCCTGTTTCCAAAGATACAGAAATGAAACACTTGTCCTAACGTGTAGGCGAGGTAGCCAATTGTGCTGAATGCATAAACGTTGATACCGTTGATCTAAAACAAAAATAATATAATGGCAAAAAAGTCGTTAAAAAACCAAAACAAAAATCTGAAAGACTTCAGATCGCCGCGTTGGCAGAAAACAAGTGGGATGTGTCACACGTTTTCCAAGAGTTTTGAACCTTTTTTGACGTGTAGGTTTTTTAAATGATGTTTTCCTTTACCATTAGCGAAAGAGATTGCTATTAAACATATGAATAGCGATTTATGAATGTTGCTTTACAAATGTTGAAACCTAGGCTCAGTGGTGGTGCAACCGTTAGTCGAGCGGAGCGCGACGGGAAGTGAGTGTGCCTACAGCTCCGTAGGTGCACCCAGAGCGGCTCACCTAAGACACTAGCCTTACAGAGAACCGAATGAAGTCTGTGCAAACGTGCTGGTCCGGGGTTAGGACCTGACTTAGATGATCCCTGTGCGGGTTCGCTCGCATAGGTCATAGTGCCCTTCTCGTATACCCTAAGGGTCAGTAGGAAGTCACTGTAATCAAAACTAATGAGGAAAGATATGGGGCTGCTGGGCACACCGACCCGAGAGATAGTTAGACTACGGCTCCCCGGTAAGACAAGGATACGTCCAGGCAAAGCCCTCCGCCAGTAATATGCCTTCAAGAGCGTCTCTGGCGGACCCGAACTCTGGGTATGGACTCGCCGGGTCTTGTTGTTAGCTGTAGGGATGAACACGTTCATCTGCCTTGGTAGCATGTGGCCGGAGCGTTCATCTGGCGCACAGCTAGCGCGTCTTAGTAGCTAGACAAGGGTAGGCCCTTAGGACGCGAGGACACGCGCAGGGCACGTGAGTTGCTCTTTTAGTCGGAAGCTATATCCGGACATTATCGCAGGACACTGCGAGCGGCATCTCCGGCGCCACGGGACTCTGCGACAGCCCGGAGAGCTAGTAGAGGATAACCTAGATATTTTCCGGTCTTCGAACTGGAGAAATACTTCAGCATCGGGAAGTGAGCGTGCCCACAGCTCCGCCACGAAAGAGGAGATTTGGTAGGAGACTACAGAGTCAACGGCTTAGCGGTGGCAACAGTTAGTTGTACAATATGCAATGGGAAGTGAGCGTGCCTAGAGCACCGGTACCTATCTGGACAATAGGGAGGGTACTGTACATGCATCCGGGGCGGCTCACCCAAGGCACTAGCCTTTTGATAACCGGATGAAGCGTATGCAAACAGGGGCCAGGACAGAACATAAGGTCCCTGTGCTTGCATAGATTATTCTTCCATTCCTTTATGGTCACTATAAATAAAACTTAAATAGAAATATACGAGACAGATGGGCACGGGTCTCCGTACAAATCTTAAAAGTGTCGGGTGATACAACAAAAACTGAAAAGTTCTTTATATACCTGCGAGGTTGTTATTATTCTACAAATAACCTTGTGTAAGTCACCGAGTTTTTATGATTCCTAATTATAATAATTATGTACGTACCTTTGTAGCTTGATAAGCGAGTAGCGTCAATGTGATAGTAGAAACCAGCATGTGGAATAATAGAGCCGTACCATAGGTATCCCCTATGGACGCCACTAGCCTGCAAGAAAAGTAATTTACGTTAGAAACCAATGAAAGTTGCACGATGGGTTTATGTCATTTCTTGTATTCATCCAAACTAAATTATATGGGATAATATTATTTGATCCTCAATTATAATATAATTGATGTACTGTAAATGTGCACTTTATTTAATTATATGATATTTTTTGTGCTTGATAGGTATATGCATTAATTGTTCCGTCGATATTAGATAAATTATAAATGAACTGTGGGCCTACCATAACCTTTCCAAAAACAATCTTATTTCAATGTAAGCTTAAAGTAAGCTTGTTATAATATTACTCATATTCGTACCATGACAAACTTGTCTACCAAGAAAAGTATTATTGCTAAAATGACTGAAAGAACGAATGATTTCACAATATTGTCTATTCCTTACTAAAAATAGGAAAGAAATAACGCTATATGAACTGTATAATGCCATCTCATTCTTTTTATTTTTTTTTTATTTTTTCAATTCCGAATCGCGTTATCGTAGTACAATGTTAAAGTACTTAATGTTATTTACATTCAGAGAATGTTAACTGCCAAAAACAAGTAAAATATGTAATAATGAAACCTATTGAAATTACGTTGTTTTCAATTATTATTCCGCATTTTCATGAAGAAAAATAAATAAAACAAGCTGAGTCTTGATAGTCACGTTGTGAATTCGGGACTATAGTCTAGTGTCAACTATTAGTTTCGCCAAGGAGTAAACAATTAAAAAAAAGTGAGGAGAGGAGGGGGAGGACGTAGCTCCTCCTAGCTACTGGGGGGGTTCCGGTGCGCAAAGTTGATCCCGGATCCTTCCCACTAGAGCACCCGAGAAGGCCACTGTGGGGTTTTAGCCCGTAGAAGTCCTCCCGCTGCCCCCGCGGCGGAGAGGTATCCTAGGAGGATTTCCCCACGCAAAAAAAATGGCCTCCTGCATTCAAGGTGGCACTATTATTATGTTCAAGCATACTAAATTCATATGCTTTTTTTATTATAGGTCTTTTTTGTAACGTTTGACGACATTTATAACCCGTATATCTTTTGACATTTAGGTTAGGTTAGTAAATGAAAAAGCAGCACGAACCGAGCGAGGGAAGTAAGCATGCCGCGGCAGCGGCCGGTGAGAGCTAGAAGCCAATTTGCTTGCGTTATATATGCGAAAGTAACTCTGTCAGTCTGTTACGTTTTCACGCCTCAACCTCTGAACCAATTTTACAGAATTTAGGTAAAAGATAAATGGGACCAAGGAGAAAGACACAAGCTACTTTTTGTTACAATAAGAAATGTTATGGATGTGAAATAGGGGATGAAAGTTTGTACGGATAACCAATCTTTTATCAAGTAGCGAACCGGCTCGACTGTCCCTATGTGAATCACTGTTGTATGATCCAAATACGTAAAAATAAGTAGCTGTGAAGTGTTTTTGTCTGCTGTGTTGTTTTTGTGTACATATACTAACAGTAGTATTTAAACGTAACTGGTACTAACACTAAATGTTACGTTAATAAACGAAATTGTATTATTATTATTTATACAGAATTTTAATATATTATACTCTCGGAAGTGTAAGAACAAAACCACTTTAGAATTTAAAAGCCTGTGTAAAAGAAAATCGCAACTACATTCTCATGAAAGGCAAGATTTTATTCAACATGGAACAAAAAGAACAAAGAAATGTAGGTGAGCTAGGAATTTTAACGTTTCACACGTTAAGATGGGAACACTCAGCGTTTCCATTTTGAAACTGTTGAAACTTGTGAAAACGCATTTTGTTACAGTTGTTAAATGTTACATAAATGTTACACTAAAAATATGTATACTGTAATATATATTAATATTATATATTTATATGTGTTTATATTGACGTTATTAATTATACGTTATATACTTCAGACTTAAAAAAAAGGAAGAGGTTCTCAATCCGACAATATGTTTTTTCTTCTATGTATGTAACTCCCGGCATTTGTCAACCGATTTTGATGATGATTTTTTTGATTGTTGGAAAGAGGGGTACCCTCAGTAGTGGTCCCATTTAAATTTGAAGAACGTTTTCCACTTTTAAGGGTGGCAAACTAGGGGATGAATGACTTTTGAGGTCGGTTTATTTAGTACTCTGTACTGAGATTATTTATTATTATTTTAATTAAAATTGTATATATCAAGTTTATTACATTTCTCCCTCTTTCTCTTTTGCACATTGTTGCCCGCTTATGACCTTTGTTCTCACAGACTTGTAGGAAGTCGAAGGAATTTTTTTAAAGTGTTTTTTCTGAGTGTTCGATCTTTGTATTAATAATTATAACAAACTAGTGGAGTAATTTCACAAAAAATAATTGAATATCAATTCAATAAAAATTTAATTAATACAATGAATAGCGACATCTCTCGCCAGGACTGGTAGCTGTAAAGGTACTAACTGGGTGATAAATCTGTCATAGATTTCTCATAGATGGCGCTACGACTAAAAAGTCGTTGGAAGACCAAGTACAAAGACACGACCCAAGCACATAGAAAAATTTAAAGAAAAGTTCGTTCCGTGGCTTAGTTGGTATAGCGTCTGGCACGGTATGCAAGAAGACGTCGATTCGAATCCGACCGGATCGAAGGAATTTTTCTGAGTGTTTTTTCTGAGTGTTCGATCATTGTATTAATAATTAATGAAAGAATAGTCAACGCTATTTCATGGCAATGTATCTATAGCTGCAACGACTACTGTAGCTTGGCATTTTGGCTCTACGAGCACATCAAAATTCCACTATTCTATTCCCAATAGAAACCTTTCATAGATTTCTTACAGATGGCTCTACGACAGAAAAGTTGTTAAAACCAAAAAAAAAACAATGATCTGCAACAATCACAGAAAAATTCGTAAAGTCTGATGGTTCGTCCCGAAGCTCAGTTGGGAGAACCTCAACCACGGTATGGTGAAGGTGCTGGTTCGAATAGAACCGGATCAAATGAATTTTTCTTTGTGTTCGATCTTTGTATTAATAATTATACTTATTTTGTTACATGTCAACTTCTATACAACCTGTGTCACGTTATGCATGTTGATTAGGCGTAAGATACCTGTGAGGAATCATAGCAAATGGAAGGCTATGATCTCTATAATCTATGAAAAAAGGGCGTGAAGTGAATGAGACGTTGATAAACAAATTTCAGATATTTTAAAAAGCAACAACAACATTTTAAGTCAAGTATTCTATTGTACTGTGCAAGGAAGAATGCCGACATTTGCCCGACGCAACATAACACTGCCACGGAAATTACATCACACGCAATCAACAGATGAATCCTCGCTTTCATATCTGCCAGGGTTATATTTGTCAACGTCAACATGATGAATTTGTGTGACATATGCAATTTGTTGGATCCCTCTTCTCGGTTCGCTCGATATTAAAGCGCGCTAACGATTACGCTATTTAAACATTGACCTAATATACTGTAATATGTTAGGTCAATGTATTTAAAACCTTAATTTAGTATATTCGCAACGCCGCCTATTGAGTTTTGACCTTAAGGTACTCATAGTAAGATATTGGCGAACGATAAAGCGTCAAACACACTGAAAGCGGGTGCGAGTCGGGCGCAAACGCTCGCTTGATTGATGATCGTAGTTAAAATTTAAAAAGAAATAACAAATTCTGCATTATTAATATAACTTAAACTTTACCCTGTTGGCATATCGTTGTAAGTTCAATACCATTAAAACCTATTATTGCAAGTTACGACGTTTTGATCTTATATGGAAATTTCAAGCAGTGTGCTGCGATCTGGCAGTTAATTGCTGAATGTCGACGAATTGGAGTTATTAATTTAGTTCTCTAGAAAACAAGCGACCATATTGCAAAGATATAAGCTTTACCTTCGTTTCTTGTAACAAAAAATTATTTTGATAAACAGAAAATTGAAAATAAACAGAAAAATTCGTGAGGTCGGCTGGTTCGTTCCGTGGCTTAGTTGGTATAGTGTCTGGCACGGTATGCTAGAAGACGTCGGTTCGAATCCGGCCGAATCGAAGGTTTTTTTTCTGGGTGTTCGATCTTTGTATTAATATTTAATTATAGAAAATTGGAACTTTATTACAATAAGACTTTCCGATGATATAAACTACCACCACGGGCTATCATTTTCGCGCTCCAAAACAGCACAATACGGCATTTTTCTAGAATTTTAGAGAATTTGCACGAAATAATGACGCAACGATGCCAAAATGGTGACTCAAATATGTCTTTCGAGACCTATAGTTGGCACGCGTCTGACGCTAACTCACTACCTTTTATTGTTCTGTGATATGTAATAAATACAGGGAATTACACCCGACGCGCTCCCGATCCGCTTTCAGTGTGTGATGTCGCTTTGGAGACGCAACGTAGACTACAGACTTTCTATCGGCCGATAGTGCAGTCAGATGCTTAATCAGTATAAAAATGTATACATAAATGCACATTGTGAAGCAATTTACGCGGTTCGCGTGGGACCAAAAGTTTCCGATAGGCATGATTTAGCAACTGGTGTTGCGCAGGGTGGAATTCTGTCACCACTTTTGTTTTCTCTTTGTATTAATTTTCTATCTTTCTCACTTAACTGCTCTTACCATTTCTATGCTGATGACTTACAGATTTACACGCAGGCATCTGCAAAGGACGTTAATTCAGCGATTTCTCTGATTAACCGTGATCTACAAAGGGTTAGTGCTTGGTCAATTAATTTTGGGATATCTGTCAATCCATTGAAATGTCAAGCAATTATCGAGTCAAGATTGATCATATAATGTGTATTACATATGATCATGTAATGTATGAAAACTCGTCTGTTCTACTCAGTGTTAGTGTTAAAAACCTTGGCCTCTGTATTGACTCCACACTAAATTGGTCCTCACAGGTGTCCGAGGTTAGTCGTAAGGTTATTTCTTCTTTGCGTTTTCTCAACCGCTTTCAGAATTTTCTTCCTATTAGTATTAAAATTTTACTTGTCACGTCCCTTATATTCCCACTCCTTGATTATGCTGATGTCTATTACCATGATCTCAATAAAAATCTATTAGATAAGTTGGACCGCCTTCTCATTAATGCTGTCCGTTCCATCTTCTGCCTACGCAAATTTGATCATGTTTCTTCTTTTAGGTCTCAACTTAAGTGGCTCCCTATTCGTCAACGCAGGCCAGTGCCTGTAATATTACCAGCTCTCTTACCCTTCCAAACCGGAACGCAGTAATGCTCACATTACTGCTTGGCGGCATAAAAGTAAAGTGGCAGTACTTCCATAGACGAACTCTTCCACAAGGAGCTCTACTGCTACTTATTTTTATTAAATGTGTTATATAAAGGCGCTACATCTAAAAATAACTCTAAGTAGATATAAGATTGAATGTTAATTCTAAGACATTTACGTATATTTCTTATTTTTCTGTTATTAATGAAATTTCAAAATCAATCAATCTATTAATAAATCAAATAATGCACGCGCGCACAATTTGCCGATTGTTTAGTCTGTAATACATCTAATACTCTCGGTTTCTCCTCTTGACCTTTTTCTCTATTATAAGAAAGCGATATCGTGAAGTTGAGTAATTTTGAATTTACTCGTAAGTTTGAATAAAACTGATTTCAATATTCTATAATTTTTTTCTCAAAAAACTTGTAGTCAAACACATTGATAACTGCGTGAAACGGAAAGACCAAACATTCTAAATGTCAAATGTGAGATAACATTGACAGTCGTCAAAAAAGTTTTGAGTTTCCGCGGTATTCAACGAATGAAAAGTAAGCTTCAGACATCGAGTATATAATAAGAAATAAAGGCGAAATGACATTTAATTTGTTTGAAAACTATATCTGCCATATCATTACTGTGACAACTACGCTTCGATTGCCCAGCCCGAATTCGAAACAATTGACGGGTGACCTCAATAGGTTTCGTCAATTGTTTCACTGCAAATCGACCAGTTAACTTGAGCTTTGCTATAATGGACGAAAATTACAAAATTACATATTTCATATTTAATCACCGATGAAATTTTATTCCGTTTGTTTTGTTATTAGATGTTTTGCTGTTTTTCCCCACACCGAATAGAGATATTATCGTATTACAATAAATACAGAATATTTTTGGAATATACGGAGACGGACGGACACACAGTTTTTGGCGCTGTACTATTTCAGCTTTCTAATTTGTAATTTCAGTGCAAACGAGAGTTGATATTTATAAGTGACTGGTAACTGATGAGTTGTAATGAAATGTAAGGCCCTTGTTTCGTCTCTATTTCTGGTTATATACTCGATGGCTTCAGATCTTTTTGTACCCGTTGGTAGCTGCTAGTTGGTAAATGGTATCCTCAAGTGAATGGTGAGATGTTCGCAAATGATAAGTTTAATTCATTTGGCAGATCCGTGGTTTTGTCATTTAAAGTAATCAAATCTCGATATCGAGATAGAAATTGAGTATAATCTTACCCAAGTTAGTTACAAGAACAATGACGAAGGACTTTCGCTGTCAAAAATGACTCGTTTCAAAAAAAGGTTTTCCAAAAGCAAAGGTGACTTTGAACGGTTTCTATCGGCCGATCTATCGGAGTATCTAACTCACCTGACAACATGCTTATGTCTCTCCACCCAATATTTAATGGCGGATCTGGCCAGCATTTCCTGTTTTTGAGTCAATCCGTTGGGGTTATTTTGTGTTTGATCTCCAAAGGTCTGTAGTCTACCACCAGCTCCTCGCAGTGTCATCCCAAAGTCTTGCTGTGTTGAATATATGCCACGGATGTCGAGGTCGATTGGTTCTGGGACTTTTTCGGATTTTTCTGTGGGAAAGATGTAGATATGAGAATTTGCACAATGTGATGTTTGTCCTCATCTATGTTATTTGATCATTTTCTCATTTACTCAAAATGAAATTTAAGGGCAACACTTGGCCAATCGCCAAATGTCGCCAATCCACTTACTTGCTTACAATTCGTGTAATGAAAAAAATTATAGAATAATATACGTATATTATTCTGTACTGAAACGTTTCATTGAATAGCACTACACTAACCTACCAAAAAAAAGACAATTAAAAAAAATTATATTTTCTGTTAATGTTATTGAAGAAGTAAAAGTCATTAATCATCATTTTAATTATTATTTACTTGCGTAACATTTATCTAACAAGAACTATAATACTTTAATCATTTAATGCAAATATATATAAAATCGGGTACCGGAAAGTTCGCGAAACCGGATTCATCCCCTAGTTTGTCACCCTTAGAGGCGGAATATTTTCTTCAAATTTAAATGGTACTACTGCTGAGGTACTCTCTTTACAAAAAAAGAATAATCGACTTCAGTTCATAAATACCGGCGTTATCGCGTAACATACGATACAAAAAAAACAGACGAATTGAGAACCTCCTCCTTTTTTTGAAGTCGGTTAAAAATAAGTAAATAATACCTGTAGATGAAGCCCTGAATAGCTCAGCAGTATTTGGTCTATAGGTGTCCAAAGCAGCGCTCAGCTCCATAAGCGGTTTCATAATTGCTTTCAGATGCTGAAGTTGCTCGCAGGCGAAGACGAGCCACGAGCAGAATAGCACGTCCAACAGATTTGCTATTGCCATAGCGAATAGCAACCAGTAGACCTGGTTTGATGGAAGTGTAAATATTATATAAATTGTTGTTTTTCAAATACAGTTCAAATCAGAATAATATTTCTTTTTACTTATACTGCACAACTGTACTCAGATGTATTTTTTAATATAGAATAAGTCACCAGGCATTTTATTGATTAAAAAATTATTTTAAGGTACAGCTTTTAGTTAAAAAGTAATCAACGCGGTACGTTCACTGTGTTTGCATAACAAATTAAAAATGTTACAATTTTCATATTTTATTTATTGATTTTAAAATATTAATCATCATTCTTTCACAGAAATACTGACTGAATCATTGTTTTTATTACACAAACATTCTTTCTAAATATATTTAAGATTGTTATTATTATTGATACATATATCGAACAACACAAAGCAAAATTCCTTCGAACTGACTGGACTTGATGGTTAAGGTTGCTGGTGAAACTACATGCACATGGGACTTTTCAACTTCTATCTGAGGGTGACGGGTGCAGAGACAGTGCCAATCAGGTCTTTGCGATTTATTATGCGACTTATTTTCTGGCGCACGACTTATTCACCCCGTCACTAAAAAGTCATGATTTTACCTGAAAAGCAAATGCCACAATATAAAAGGTGCCACTCATAGCGTTGAATGGGTACCAAGCCTTCAATGGGAGCCTTGGAGCTGGTTCCGTAAATGTCTCATTCGTCTCTTTATCCATGATCATGTACACTGATTCTCCGAAGAAAGTTATTGTCACCCAACCTGGAACAGAGGTGTTGCTTCAAGATATTTCATAAAAATTTTACAGTATAACATGTATTGACCGTATCTAATGTGGGTTTACGACTTCACGTTGCATATACGGTGGAAGTGGAACTATTTTTTAACCGACTTCAAAAAAGGAGGAGTTATGTTACGCGATTACTACGGCTATTTCTGAACCGATTTTGATGATTCTTTTTGCATTGGAAAGAGTGTATTTCAGTATTGATCTCATATAAATTTGAAGAAAACTCACGTACTTGCATGTAACCAACTATGCCAGCCATGCTAACTTAGCTTCACTTATGTAGTTATATGCAAAGCTAAGCTAATACGTAGTAAGTAGTGACGTGTTACACTATGGATACGTGCGGAGGAGAAGGGCGGCAGAAGGGCGACATATTTTACATAGCTTAGCGGGATCGTTGGGTTAGTTCAGTTAGCTCGGTTAGCTTAGTTTGCGATGTGAACCGAAGTATGAAAATCTACGTGAGCTAAGCTAAGTTAGCTTAGCTTCGTTCGCGGCGGATAAATTCGGTTTCGCGCACTTTCGGATTTTTTAATAAAAAACTTATGTCAAATCTATAATCGCGTATATTTGTTTTTTGATACTGCCGGCTATTCATTTATTTCGTTTAGGATTGACGCCAAACAAACAACAGAAAACACTTGACTTTGACTTGACCTTTTTCCGAACTATATGATCTTTAGAATAATAATAATAATGCTTGCTTGTAACCCACGTGGAGCATTATATAATATTTCTTATTACACATGGATAAAAGTCTCTCAATGCATAGGTACTTACACACAACAGAAAATACTGTCATCCCAAAGATAAAGTATAGGAGTCTCCTGTTCTTGGTAAGTGCGAGTTGATGGTACCGAGCGTCAGACTCTGTGAAGAGCGGATGACTGTTCGATTGATTCCACACCGCCAAGGTCCTGAGGGATTGAGAAATTAATTAATATTTTATTGGAACATGTAGCCATTATCTTTAGCAGAATTCTAGAAGGTTCTAGAAGGACTATAATATGAATAACTATTTCTGCGGCCTATCTAATTGTTTTTATTACCAAGCGATGGGACGAATAAGTCGTACGCCTGGTGGTAAGCGACACATCCATAACGTTGCAAAGCCTAGAGCTATAAATCACAAAGATCTGAAGGGTACTGCCACCGTGCCCGTCACCCTGAGACATAACTTGACTTTCCGACTAACTTTTTAACTTGATGTTCCGTGTCACCACCAATGCTCAAATTACTGCTTGGCGGCAGAAATAGGTAAGGTGGCAGTACTTCCCTTAAACGAACTCTTTCACAAAAAGTTTTTCTGCTACTAAAATGAGTATAGAAGATTTAAAACACTTTTTCAACCCAATGACGTCAATCCACCTTAGATAAATTTGAAATTAATTTCAACTGAAATTAAAAATTTAATATCTCAGCGTTTAGAAGTAAGATTATGAATTTCATTTGGAATTATAATTATTTTAAAAACCTTTTTCCGTCGCCTTTTACATTGAATAGATTGAATTTCATTTGAACAATCACTGGCTATATAATATTATGATATCCTTAAACATTTACCTTGAACTAATAAAATTGTGTAACACTAATTGCAGAGCAAGTACCTAATTCATATTATTTTTACAGCTTTCATGACATTGACGTATCACATGTGGCTATAAATGTTGGGCAAGATTTATAAAGCAGTCCCAATCTTTTGTATGCAGCCAGCTGCCATGAGCGTAAAAAAATATGCGATCTCAAGAATAGCCATATGAAATAAGAGCAGTTACATATGGCGCCGCAGTTGCGTCTTTACAAACTTTGAGCTACACACTTAATAACACTTTACGTTGACTCCTTGGTGTCGTTATTAAATTTTATTTGTCTGTAATTCGCACCTCTGGGGAACTAAGGCCATATTTGCGAAAAGTCTACGTTTCAGGAGAGAGGCTAAAATAGTCTACGAAAATAATAACAATGAGAACCAACAACTCGGTAGTGAAGTTATCACTGTTACAAAATATTTAAATTTAACATATTAAATAACACGAAAATAAAGCCAAGCTCTAAAATATGGCAGTACATTTGCCGCGCAAAACTTCTGCGTATTTCTGTACGCCTAAATTTAGTATAGAATTTTTTGTAAATTTTTTGATAGTTTTATAATTTTGAAATAGATCAAAGCACATATGTACACCACAAATTATTCAGTGAGTTATAAAATTTCAAATATATTGTGTCGGAGCCAGTTATCACTTTAAACGTAATGCAACAGAATATATTGTTTACGTAATGTGTTTTACGAAAGGATAAATCTTATTAATATTATCACGAGTTGCTTTCTAATAATTAGATAAATTAATTACTAAGCTATCTACGAATCTTAATAACTAGTTCGATCATGGTTCTAAGTTTACTATGTCACGTCAGTTTGACAGCTCAAACTGGGTAAAGTTGCAGAGGCAATGGCGCTGGTGTAGTCTGAAGCTGTTCAGCTTACTTAGTTGTCCGACGTGGTCCTATGACATGATGGTCATTGGCAAGGTTGCCTTATGAAAATAAAAACTGAAGTTGTCAAGACTTTATTAACGAGAGCGCATTTTTTGACAAGAGGGACTTTTTTGTGTGAGTGACTTGAAAAGTGATCCAAGCGCGGCAGACCCCGCAAACTTGCCACGTGTAATTTAAAATCCGTTTTAACCTGATCCATCTTTTGTACTTTCGACGTCTCCCATAAGTCTTAATCCATAAGTCACATGTAGTTTCATGTAATTCGTATTAATTTTATCACTTTCATGTGAAATAAGCTCTTTTGACCTATGATGACATATGGATTTATTACCAAGGCTACGATTTTATAATTAGTAAGCTTTATAAAATTATTTCTGTTTAGGTCACGTTTGAATAATTAAAGTGATTAATTTTTTTTCTCGGGAATATTAACTAGTCTTGCCTGTCTAGACTATAAACGGATTAATTTTCTTCATCGCTTCTGTAAACAATTTTGTTTAGGTAACTTTGAACTTTTAGGTAGAAGGTGACCTTCTGTTAAGCACGAAAATAACCACTTGAACGACGCTCGTTATCCAAATTCGCTATTTTTTTAGGAGCGTAGGTTGTTTGTCTAAAATACCACAGTGTCTCAAGGTGAAAGTCTTTAATCTGTGAGACCAGTGATGACTCTGATGACTTACGGCACTGAGACGTGGTAGCTCACAAAAGGCCTCTTAAAAAACTCAGGGTCACCCAAAAGACACTCCCGTACATTACTACATAAGTTTTGTTTAAAGGGACCCTTATGGTATACAAGAAGGGCACAATAATCCGTGCAAGTAAGTCTCCACAGGGACATTATTAATCAGCTTCTGATCCCAGATCACACCTATTTACCAGACTTCATCCGGTTTTCAAAAGGCTAGTGCCTTCACCCAAAGGACAATGGAAAGGGTCATGTTCGGAGTTTTACTGTGAGATCGAATCAGTAATGAGGATATCCACAAGGGAATAAGAGTAATACCCCAAGAATTGCAAAACTTAAGTGGCTATGGGCGGAGAACGTGCTCCCCGTCTGATGATCTGATGAAGGTTGCGAGATTCCGCTGCATGCAAGCAGCACAACGAGTCCTTGTGGCGTTCTTTGAGGGTAGCCTACATTCAGCAGAGGACGTTCTGCGGCTGAAATGATGATGATAGAAAACACAATCAGTGGATCGGACATTTTGTAACGAAAGTTGGACCGATTCGTGGAAGGGTTCTTTAGGGAAAATTGTTCACATTTAGTCCGCATTGAAAATTGTCTGCCCACGTTGCGTCTTGCGGTACGCAGACACTACTCGAGAAGACGAAGAATAACGTACAGTGAACAAGTAAAGAAGAATGTCAAAGTAAAATACAATGGTCGTGAGGAGCGGCGAAGACTACACCGACAAAAGCCTGTTATTTGAACGTCTGAAACGAAACGAAGTGCATCATTTATTTAGCCGTATATACTGTGGGCGCTGAATGAGGCGGTTTCAGGTTAAAATTTTTGTGCTACCAGGTAAGGTAACTTCATTACTCTGGTAGTCAAAGTATATTCTTTAGTTTTGAGACCAGATAATTGGCGTGGTTGTGTAACACACTATTATTATTAATTCACTTCTTTTTTCATTACGAGTCGACACTAGCTCATTTCGAATTCAGTTTTTCCCGTACTACTAATACGGTACATTTTGCTTGAGTCGAGTGGCAGGGACACTGGCTTTATTTCAGAATTTATTTTTTTACAAACGAAATTAAAGCCATTTGGAAAATGTATATTGTGGTATACGTGTTCTATTAGTTCAGTTGATATAAAAAAGAACCATTGGTATATGTAAAGTACCTATTGAATACTGTCGTTTTCTTGAAAAATTTCGAGGTAAGTTTGTGTTTTTCTACTAAGAATGAAAATTTTTAGAAATCGTGTTTTCACATCATTGTATATTCTCAATTTTACTATACCTATATTTTTCCAAAGTGATTCTACACTTTCACTGTTTTGCGGAATCAATCAAAGCCATTTGAGGTTCTATAGACTCTTAAACCATTGTGTCCCTTTGCAAGTTTTGGTAAAAACACCTGTAGTAAAATTATAATTTCAGAAAATTATGTGTCAACTGAGGTAAACAATATCACGGTGTCCAGAAGCGTCACCTTCTCTAAACAAACATACACTTATTAAATATAATACACTTCATGTCTCGACGTCGTTCTGTCGTGATAAAAGGAAAATGGAGGCGAGAAATTATTATCCATTCAGTCCTTTGTGTTCTCTCGTTAAATTAAAATTGCTTGGAAGATCCGCTTTTGTAACGACACGCGCCTCATTTCTGTTTGTTTCAACTTTTGTTCCAGATTTCTCGAAATATTTCCGATTTAATTAAGTGAGTGGTTGTTTAGGCTTTTCTCTTTTTTTGTTAATATTTTTTTTTAATTATTTAAGCCGCTAATATTACAACTTTTTTAAACTGTTTGTTGCAGATTGTAATGTTATATACCTAATTGTACACCATAAATGAAAACTTATTCTAGTAAATAACGAGTTTTTGGGTTTTCACGATTGTTACACATAGGAAATGAAACTATTTTCTCGGATCTTAATTCGTTTTTTCAAACAAACCAACGGTAAAAGTAAAGGCCCCGAAGCGTTGGTTTATTTGAAAAAACAAACATCATTTTCTACTAAATAACATTATTGTTCTCGACTTCTTTAGTTTTTACAATTATCGCCAGGAGTGTTTACTTTTTTAACAAATTTGCTTTGGTTAAATGAAATTTTAACATTTTTTTTTATTATTTCGCCTTGTTTAAATGTAATTTTTGCTTATCTCTCATATTAGTAATTCTTGTCGTAGTAGTTGTTTTCAGAATATTTTATCCGTAGGTGGAGGCCTGGAGACCTATTGCACAGAGTATCCTAGTTCAGGCTCCAGCCTTCACAGACAACAAATATTTTGGTTTACAACATAATGTTATATAGTAGTTATAGAGGTGAGTGTGAAGGAAATAAACCATATTATTATTATTGTTAGTGTACTCCATTTCTTTGCTGTATTCATTAGGAACGAGGAAGCAAAGCGCTTCGTGCGAATAAGTGGCAAATTAATGACATAAAGATTGAGCACCCCGGATTTTCTAGTCGACGGAAGGTACAGGTCAAGTGGAGGCAATAAATCCCAGGCTCTACAACACAGTCGCCAAATGTTCATCATATAATCGCGTTAAGTTTACTTAAATGTAGTTTATAATCAAAGAAATAACGTGACCTTTAGAATGAAAGTTAAATAATTCATAAAATGAGTTAATGCCGTAAAACGACTTTAAAATCATCGTTCATATATAATAATAATAACGCACACACTCAACATAGTAACCGCTCCAGCATGGTAACCAATCGTCCACAGTGGCAGTT